AACAGGATCCGGTGGTCGCTCAGGCGGAGGCACGCTCAGGCGGAGGCGGCGGCGCGTCCTCTCCTCTTTCTCTTTCATTCTCTCTCTGTTTCTCCCTTTCTTTCTTTCTTTCTTTCTTTCTCTCTCTTCCCCCGTGTTTTTTTCCTTGGTTCTTTCTGGTTTACAACCTAATTTCTAGTTCAAATATTTGCGACGGAATTTATTTCTGTCGGTAAATATTTTCCGACGGAAAATTCCGTCGCAATTAATTTTGCTACGGAATTTTCCGTCGCAAAATTAATTTTCCGACAGAAATAAATTCCGTCGCAAATTTTGCGAGGGAATTTCCGTCGCAATTCACAATTTCCGACGCATTTTAGCAACAAATTGAATTCTGTCGCTGAAATTAAAGTTTGCGACGGAAAAATAGGTCCGTGGGAAAATTCCGTCGGTATTAAGCCATTTTCTAGTAGTGTATCAACACACAACTTACCTCGTTGCACCTGTTTACAAACATGCATCATACAACAAGACTTTTTAACTAAGCAACTAAATAATTTATTTAGTATTGATTATGCATCAAACGGGTTTCCCCCTAACCTGCCCTAATAAAGGGGTACTAACACGGGAACTAACCGTGCCAGTATAAAATAACCACTCGTAAGTGGCGGAATTCCTGCGCATAATAAAATGGAAAGTACAGCGACCTGTACCCCCAGTAGAAGTTATGGTTAAATATGAAACACCACAACTCCCCCCATACGTTCATACTCAAGGTATATACGTTCCAAGAGTTTTGGTGCGTAATCTCTTTCACTTTATGTTATTTACATATTATTAAACTTGATGATGACTCTCAAAATATAATAATTCAATCGTAATAATTATCAAAAAATTAAACATTCCAATTTAATTCTTGAATAATTAGTGACCACATAATATTTAATGTTGAACCCTTTTTAAATATACCTCGGTGTCAAAGACACCTTAAACGCATAATGCGCCACAAATCCTATCCCTCGATATTAGAAACACCTTAAGTGCACCAAGACACCAAAATATAATTTAATCCTCGTGTACAAGGACACTTAAATAGCTCCATCCTCATGCTTATAGCATCAATAAAAATTATATGAACCATAATAAAATTCCTTTTCAATATTCCAAACCAAATTGAATATTTAGTTTAATTAAATAAACCTTCAAACATGCTAATAATAAAAATATGGTTCAATGACAATTTTCCAATATCACCAATTCCAATAAATAATTTATTTCAACCACTCATTCTTCACAAATAATTCAACAAGACCATTCTCAATTTGATCAATCCAATTCAAATCACCAATCTCATTTGAATTCAACCATTCCAATCAATTTCTAGCATGACACTAACTTAGAATCAATTAAGTAAATCCTAACATGTTTCTACACGCTTAATAAATTTCTGAGTACGCGTACGTACCTCAATTAAGCCCTTAAAGTGGCGGAAAATACTACAACACTTCCCGAACCAAGTCTCCTACATTAAGGGACAATAATACTATATTAATTACCCTTGTATACACAATTTTCAGCAACTTAAATTCACTTTAAACAACTTATAATAATCTGAAAATTATTTAAAAAAACCCTTAAATAAACTTCTCTTTAATGGGTAGTTATGCCCTTTTTATAAAATCATCAACATCAATACTTGGGGCCAATTTCCAGCATTATAAACTAATAAAAAAAAACCCATTAAAACTTCATCAAAATACATTTTATACTTCAATTATTCATAGAATCATTGGGTATATGAAAGCCCCAAATTAATTTGTATAAGAACCTTAAAAATCATATCTTTAAATAAAGGAAAAATTGCTCCCATTAATCTGAACTTTGCCTCGTCCGCTCAAATTAATCCCTACTTTAGACTATTCCCCATCACTCCCAACTTTAGGGGGGATTAATTTCTACTGCACCCAACAGGTAATCTAACCTGATATTGCAGGTTACCTAGACACGTATTCACACGTGATATGTCCAAACAAAATTAAAAAAAAAACAAAATTAAAAAAACAAAATTACAAAAAATAACAAAAAAAAACTAAAACCAAAATACCAGCCACCCTCTCCCCACCCCCTAACCCACCGAAACCCTAACCCCAGCCTCCAAACTCGCCGGAAACCGGCTCACCAACCCCCCTAAACCATCGAAAATAGTCGGCTGTTTTCGCCCCCTTTAGCCCCACAGCACCACAACAACCACTGTGCACTACCACACAACCGCATTTCACTTCCTCAGTTCCCCCGCCATTTGCACCCTCTTTACCGCCGTTTTCTCCCCTTCCCTACTGGATTCCGCCTACCCATCCCTTTTCTCGTCAAATTCCACCCCTTTCCTCGTCGAATTTTGCCCCCTTTCTGTTCCCCGATTTCCTTTCCCCGGTTTTGATGCGGGAGAGGAAAGACATGGGGCTGTGGTTGTGGTTGTGGTTGTGGAGAGTGAAGGAGCATGGGAGGGTGGGTGGTGCCCGTGGCGCCAATACTAGGGCAGGAAAGGGGGTTTGGGCGGTGGTCGGTGCTCCGGGGGAAGGTGTTTGTGGCCGTGGGTGGGTGGGTGAGGCGGGTTGTTGCTGTCGTGGGGAAGGTTTTTTTTTTTAATCTTTAAATAATTTTTTTTTAATTTTAACCAATCATTATGTGACACGGTGCAACTAATCACAAGTCAGCAAAATTTACCTCTTCAACCGGTTTCAAGTCATTTGGGTGCAATAAAAATTAGGATATTTTATGAAAAACTACCTTTTAAATTTTGAATTTTGCGAAAAACTACCCTAAAAACAAAATGTTGTAATTAACTACCTTATAAAGTATAAAATGTTGTAATTAACTACCTCCCACCGAAATAACATATTTGATTTTTATTTTCCGGTGTTGACCATGTCATGTGAGGGTCACATGACCCTTTAATGACTTAATTCCCCCTTTCTCCCAAATTTTCCCGCTTTATACCAACGATCTTTTCCTAACAATACGATTATTCATATTTTATATTGTTTTTTTTGCAACCCCTTCGATAATTATATGGGCTGAATTTGTGTAAAGCGGGAAAATTTGGGGAAAAGAGAGGAATTAAATCATTAAAGGGTCACGTGACCCTCACGTGACATGGTCAACGTCGAGAAATAAAAGTCAATTTGTCATTCCGGTAGAAGGTAGTCAATTACAACGTTTTATGTTTTATAAGATAGTTAATTACAACATTTTGTTTTTAGGGTAGTTTTTCTCAAAATCTGAGTTTAAAAGGTAGTTTTTCACAAAAAATCCTAAAAATTAATACCCCCTAAAGTTGGGAGTGATGGGGAATAATCCAAAGTAGGGATTAATTTGGGCGGACAAGGTAAAGTTCAGATTAATGGGAGCAATTTTTCCTTAATTAAATTAAAATCCTACTTTAATCATATCAAAATATGATAATAATAAACCAAATTAATTATCTGAAATTTATATTTTACATCACTAAAAACTCATTATGATACTGTAGACACCCAAATGTGTCTCCCCAAAACCAAACCCAATGATGAATACCTTTCATGTCATTTGATTATCGAACAAAGCGAAAGTGTGAAAAGTCTAGTGATGAGGATGTTTTTATTAAAATATCTCTTCTTTATGTTTTGAAAATATTTCTTTTCTTACCTTATTTTTGAAAAACGTGCATTCCAGTTTAGTTTTGTCCATGATAAGAGTCCAATAATGGTGTAGTTGGATATGGATTGAAAAGACATTTCCAACGATATATTATAAGCCCAATTCCGATGAATAATGAGGAATTATGGCCAAAATACTAAAATGGGCCCGGTTTGGTTTTTATATGCGGCCCAATGATATAGAGGAGGGCCTATTATTAATTATTATTCCTAAAGCTATTAGGATTGATTTTAGTCTTCTAGAATACTCTAGAAGGTTCTTTTAAATCCTAATGGAGTTAGGATTGATAATTATGTTTCAAAGAGTTTGAAATTGAATAAAACTACTCCTATTTAGAATCCTTGTTTTGTACGAAGTGGAATATATTCATATTTTATTTTTTTTCCTTATAATCATTATCCAAATTTTATATGGTTGGATAGATCTTGAAATTAAATTTCCAATGATATATTATAATATTAATTCCGATCTATAACGAAAAGATATGAATGAGATACAAAACTTTATCCAAAACTGACACCGCCACTATTTTGGCCATATCTTTTTATCTACAAACGATTTTAATATGATTCTAATTGGGTTAGAAAGTAGACTTCAAGAGCTTTCCAACAACATATTATATGACTTATTTGGACTTCCGGATCAAAATATATGATAAAAACAAAATCCGCAAAAACTGTTGTCCATCGAGTTTTATTTCGATTCGAATTCGGATTCTCTTCTTATTCTTCGACCCTCTTTTTTTCTCTATAAATAGAGGTCATATATCCCCTTTTTCAATCACCAACTCTCATCAAGAAATTCTTAATTTGTAATAGGTTTTTTGCCCTATTATTATTAAGATTTGAGTTTAAAATCCCTTGTGGTCGTGGTTTTTCTTCTTGATTAGGGCCAAGAAGTTTTCCACGTAAAATCTCTCTTTGCACTTTTAGTTTTTATTCGAGTTCCTTTATAAATTCCGCAAAAATTACCCTAGTTCCTCTACAATAAAATTCACCCCCTCTTGTATTGTTCATTTGAGTCAACAATTGGTATCAGAGCCTGTTACTCAAAGAAATCAGGAAACCCTGACGAGTTAAGTTCCTGGAAGCAACATGAACAATCACGAGAAACTGGAATAAGGTAACTCTACGCAGCGTCCTCCTATGTTCAATGGGAAGTTCTATACCTATTGGAATAACAGGATGTAATTTTTTATAAAAGCTGACAACTAGCAAGTTTGGAGAGTTATTGAAGTTGGTTATTTCGAAATCACCAAAACAGTTGGTGAAAATGAGGTAGTACCTAAACCCATATCTGAATTTGATAAGGAAGATTTTGAAAAAATGGAAATTAATGCACTTGCTGTTAAATTACTTCACTATGGTCTTGGTCCCCATGAACACAATCGTGTTATGGGCTGTAAAAATGCTAAAGAAATCTGGTATTTACTGCAAGTAACACATGAAGGAACTAACGAAGTGAAACGCTATAAAATTGATCTACTTATGTCCAAATATGAACGCTGTGAAATGCAATCTAAAGAAACAATCCAGGAAATGTTAACAAGGTTTACTAACATTATTAATGAGCTTGTTTCTCTTAGAAAGCAAATACCTATTGATGAGCAGGTCAGGAAAGTTCTAAGGAGCCTCCCTCAAGATGAAAGATGGAGAGCCAAGGTGACTGCCTTACAAGAAACTAAGGACTTCACAAAATTTAACATTGAGCAACTCGCTGGTTCCCTCATGACCCATGAGTTGCACTTAGGAACATGCAATAGTGAAGGGAACAAAGGAAAAAGGCTTAGCTCTCAAAGCTGGTGATCAAGAAGAATCTGAGGTGGATGAAGAAGAGGTGGCTATGTTGGTGAGATGGTTTAAAAGAATGTTCAATCGAAATAATAGAACAAGGAACTTCACCAAAAAGTCCTCTAATTCAAAAGATGATTCTGGATGTCACAAATGTGGATCCCTAGATCACTTCATTCGTGAATGCCCTTTGTGGGAAACTGAGAAAGGAAAAGGGAAGGCTAAGGAACAAAATAAGAGCAACAAAACTCCTTACAACAAAGCAGACATTAGGAAGGCTATGATTGCTTCTTGGGGAGATTCTAAGAGTGATGATGAGGAGGAACAACCGAAAGAAGAAAAAGCCAATCTATGTCTAATGGCCAAACGTGATGAAAAGGCCTACAATGATGAACTAGCTAAAGAGGTATGTGTTGATCCCAATCACCTTAAAACTCTTCCTAAAGAAGTACTTATTGATTTAATTTTAGAAATGGAAGATGACTGGATAATTGATATTAAAAAGCTTAATGAATGTGAAAAAGCTCTTAAAGTCTGCAAGGAACACAGTACCTGGATTGAGAACCAGCGTACTGGTGTTCAAGGCAGATTCTTTGATCTTTTTGACAAGAATCTTCTTCTAAAAGAAATGAATGAAAAACTCAAGTATGAAAATATTATGGTTAATGTAGAACTAACTCAATACAAGCTTGCCAGTACTGACTTAAAATCGTCAAGTTCCTCTTCTGAATCATTGCCTAAATTTAATGAAGATTTTGAAAAATTAAAACACAATCTTGATGAGTTAAGAATTGAAAAGGCAAATTTAGAAAAGGAACTTGCAATCAGAAAAGAAAGAAGCACTGGTCAGCTTAGAATACCTAAATGGATTGAGAATGCTCAAACAAAAAGAACTGAAGGACTGGGATACATTCGATCTAAGCATAAAGGTAAAAAGAAATATGTTAACCTAGCTATAAAGTGTGTTCCTTTTGTGGGAAAATAGGTCACTTAGTGGATACTTGTTATAAGAAGGAACAATCTGTTAGTAAGAATGTTAAGCAAGTTTGGGTTAGAAAATCTGATATTGCTTCAACGTACAAGGAACCCAAGGAAACCTGGGTTCCTGAAACTAATCAATGAGTTCTTTTTCAGGTCCTAGTGAGGGGGAACAACACGTGTACCTCGACACCGATTGTTCAAAGCATATGACAGGAGACAAATCAAAATTCCTCTCACTTGAGACCTATTCTGGAGGAACAGTGACCTTGGAGACAACAAGAAAGGAGAAGTTATTGCAAAAGGAAAAGTAGGAAGGTCAAGTTCCCATTCAATTGAAAATGTACTTTTGGTCGAGGGTTTGATGCACAATTTGCTGAGCATATCACAGTTTTGTGACAAAGGAAACTCTTTAAGTTTTACTTCTGATTCATGCAACATCATTAATGGCAAAACAGGAAGGGTTGTTCTTGAAGGAACTAGAAAATGGAACACATATATTGTGGATCTCAATTCTGTCCCAAGGAACAACCTTACATGCCTGAGTGCCATTAATGATGATCCCTTATTATGGCATAAGCGTTTTGGACATGCTAGTTTCTCACTCATGGATAAACTTAGAGCGAGGAACTTGATCATAGGGCTTCCCTCAGTCAAGTTCCTCATATAACATATTTGTGATGCATGTGTGAGAGGCAAGCAAGTCAGGTCATCTTTTAAAAGTAAAAACTTGGTGAGCACCACAAAGCCATTGGAACTCATTCACATGGATTTGTGTAGTCCCATGCGTGTTCAAAGTAGAAGTGGAAAGAAATATGTTCTAGTTATTATTGATGATTTTTCTAGATTTACCTGGGTGATTTTTCTGTCTAGCAAGGATGAAACCTCAGATGAATTTGTGTCATTTGCTAAGAAAGAGCAGAAAACTAGTGGAAATCAAATTATCCACATTCGGTCAGATCATGGAACTGAGTTCGAAAATTCAAGATTTGATGAGTTCTACAAAGAGAATGGCATGGATCATAACTTCTCAACCCCAAGAACTCCTCAACAAAATGGAGTTGTGGAAAGGAAGAACAAGACCCTAGAAGACATGGCAAGAACAATGCTCATAGCTAGTGGACTACCAAGGAACTTCTGGGCTGAAGCCATTAATACTGCATGCTATATTATAAATCGAGTTATGATGAGACCAATCATCAATAAAACTCCATATGAACTGTTTAAGGGCAGAAAACCTAATATTTCTCACTTTAGAGCTTTTGGATTCAGGTGCTTTGTTCATAATAATGGTAAAAGGAACATTGGAAAATTTTATGAAAGAAGTGATGAAGCTATGTTCCTTGGCTATGCATCAAATAGCAAGGCTTGCAGAGTTTACAATAAAAATACTATGTGTGTCGAAGAAAGCATTCATGTGATATTTGATGAATCTAATATGTTTATGAATGTGCAGGAACAAGACTCTAATGATTATGAAATTGGAATGGTTAGAAACAGGGAGGATGATGAAGAGGAAACTAGTCATTCCAAGGAAAAGCAAATTGAACCTGAACAAGATCTTCAAGAAAATGCTGAAGTTCCTTCACCTAAAATTCAGGAGGAACAAAGTCATGAAGAAACAGGCAAGGAAGAGGAACCAGAGGAAGCAGAAGAAGAAGTCCCTCAAATAGGAGTTCCAGCCAGAGAGTTTCATCCAAAGCCTTTCAAATATCAAGGCTCTTATCCTATTGATCTCATCATAAGTGACATTGGTAGAGGAACTCAAACCAGATCACAGATGAGGAACTTCTGTGCCTTCCAAGCCTTTTGATCCATAATTGAGCCAAGAAATCATGAAGAAGCTCTCAAAGATGCTGACTGGATATTTGCCATGCAAGATGAACTCAATGAATTTGAAAGGAACAGGGTCTGGCATCTTGAAGAGAAACCCAAGAACAAAAAGGTAATAGGGCTCAAGTGGGTTTTCAGAAACAAGCTGGATGAGTATGGAACTATTGTGAGGAACAAGGTCAGACTTGTTGTGAAAGGCTATAATCAGCAAGAAGATATTGATTTTGGAGAAACTTTTGCTCCAGTTTTTAGATTAGAAGCTAATAGAATGTTAATTGCTTTTGCTTCATTTATGGGTTTTAAATTATACCAAATGGATGTTAAGTGTGCATTCTTACATGGTTTTCTTGAAGAAAATGTTTTTGTGGAACAGCCACCTGGTTTTGAAAACCCCAAATTTCCTAATAATGTCTTTAAGCTTGATAAAGCTCTTTATGGGCTAAAGCAGGCACCTAGAGCCTGGTATGGAAGGCTCTCCAAGTTCCTTCTTCAAAATGATTTTAAAAGAGGAAAAATTGATAAAATTTTGTTTTTGAAATATGAAGGAATTGACTTATTAGTTGTTCAAATATATGTTGATGATATTATCTTTGGAGCAACTAATGAAATCTTGTGCAAGTATTTTGCTGATTTAATGAGTGGTGGATTTGAGATGAGTATGATGGGAGAACTCAACTTCTTTCTTGGACTTCAAATCAAACAAACCGAAGAAGGAATTGTAATTCACCAACAAAAATATGTCAAGGAACTTCTGAAAAAATGCAACCTTGATCAAACAAAAACTAACCATACACCAATGGAAACTGGTACAAGATTGGATGAAGATCTACAAGGAACTAGTGTAGATCAAACCAAGTATAGAGGTATGATCGGATCCCTTCTCTATTTAACTGCTAGTAGACCTGACATTGCTTTTAGTGTTGGTTTATGTGCTAGGTTTCAATCAAATCCTAAAGAATCTCATCTTACAGCAGTTAAAAGGATTCTAAGATACCTCAAAGGAACTGACAATCTCTGTCTCTCCTATCCTAGAAGTGATACTTTTGATTTAAAAGGTTTTGCAGATGCTGATTATGCAGGAGATTTGGTAAACAGGAAAAGTACTTCCGGAATGGTCCAGTTCCCTGGACCATGTCTAGTTTCTTGGGGCTCCAAGAAATAAAATACAGTGGCCCTATCAACTACTGAAGCTGAATATGTGGCTGCTGCAGCTTGTTGTTCCCAATTTCTTTGGATAAAACAACAATTAAGAGATTATGGTATGAAATATAATTGCATTCCAATTTATTGTGATAATACAAGTGCCATATGCATTTCAAAAGATCCAGTTCATCATTCTCGTGTGAAGCATATTCACAAAAGGCATCATTTTCTTAAGGATAATGTTGAAAAAGGCTTAATTAACTTGGATTTTTGTGAAACGAAAAATCAAATTGCTGACATTCTTACTAAGCCTTTGAGCATGGATAAATTTGAAAAGATGCGCATGGAACTTGGTATGATACAATTGAGTTAAGAAGACCTCAAGTTCCCCCCCAAAGGTATAAGTCAATTATGTATGCAATGCATGTCTTACACAATCTGAATATGTGAAACATAGTCCTAAGCATTAGAATGTATGGCATTGCATATGGGATTGTGGTTGTATGTGAAGAAATCAAATTGCATTAGGCATGTCTATGTTATAACAAACTATGTTGATTTGTTCCTAGTTCCTCCGAAATATTCTATCAGATTTTGTTTTATCCTTTTATGAATTAATTAGCTAGTCAGTTAATTAATTTTATCCTTTTGAAAATCTTATCTCTCTATTCTGATTTTGAATTATTTTCAAGTATTTATCCTTAAAATTCAAATCAAATTTTTATTTAAATACCCTAAGCTCTTCGAATTCAATTCAAAGTTTCTGATCAAAGATTATCTTCACTTAACCTAGACCCTCCATGTCAAATCACATTAAATTTTAATCTGACCAAGTTAAAAGTAATTTATCTATCCTTCAACAATCGACACCTACACTATTCAATTAACCTTCCACACTCTTCCACCGACTCTTTTACCCCTTGAAATTCCCATCCCTATAAAATGACACCAAACCCTACATATTGTTCCTCACCTCTTCACTCCGTAAAATACACCTTACATTTTACTGATTCAGCAAATTCACCCATGGATATTTCACCAAAACCTCAAGTTACCCCTCAAAAGGATTCACCCATGGATATCGAGCAAGAAAATCAAACAAAAACCTCTGTTGAAAAACCAAAGAACTTGCCTGCTGAGTCAAAGAAACTAAAGCTGGAGGAACTCGAGGATCAAGGCTGGGAGGAATTGGGAGAAAAGATTCAATTGGAAAAGCCTCCATCACTTAAGAAAATTGAAGCAAGTTCTGAACGCTTCATTCATGGTTTTTGCATCAACTTACCTTGGTGTGAAGTGAGTAAGTACTCTGAATTACTTGAAATTTTAGAGGCTCAAAATTGGGTGCAATGGTTTAGTTAAAGTTACAATAATGTGCTTTCTCATGCCCCTTTGAAAGAATTCTTTGCAAATTTTAAGAATTTTGATGGTGTTTGTGTGTCAAGAGTTAAAAATAAGAAAATTACTTTTGATGCTGATTATCTATGTGCTATCTTTGGAACTCCAAATGAGGGGTTTGATGAGTATTTTAAAGGTGCTACTGATAAAAGTGTTGGTGATGTGTCTATAAAAGAAATTGTGGAATCAATTGGTGGAAAGGTGTCTAAAGTTCAAACCAATCATAACCTGTTTTCTCCCATTCAGAAATTGCTGTTTATTTTTGTGCACTTATCCATTGTTCCTAGAACTCAGCACAGGCATGAGGCTAATCACCTTGATGTTATGCTGATGTACTGCCTTGAAAACAAGATACAAATAAATTTTCCTTCCATCATGATAAAACACCTCACCCATTGTCTTGCAAACCATTTGAAAGTGGGACACGCAAATCTGATCATTACCCTCATAGAGAGTTTTGGTATTTCAGTGGAGAAATGTGAACATGTCAAACTACAAATCAATCACTTTGTTCAATCCAAAACCCTTGAAAGCAGAGACTTGCATGTTGTTGATGGTGTTACCCAATCCAAAACAAACCCCTAAAGTTAAGGAAGAAGTTAGGATTCTGACTGAGGAAGAGGAGCTGGATAAATGGCTGGAAGGAGAGGATAGTGAGGGAGAAGAAGAAAAGAAAAAAGAAGAGAGTTCTGAAAAGAAGGGCAAGAAAAATAGTGCTCCAAGTACTGGGAAGAGGAAGAGTACTAGGTTGGCTATAAAGCCAAAGATGAAAGCTGAGGCTCCAGCAGCTTTTGTCGATCTTAGTAAGGAGAAAGCATTTGTTCAGGGGGAACAGGGCACGTTTGTGCAAGAAACTGTAACTCGTTATGTTCCAGTAAGTGCAGGTTCAGGATTTGCTGCTTTTAGTTCTGTTAGTTCCAATTGGAACTAAAGGATCTCAAAGATGTTGTCAAGCTGCTGTCAAATGCTCAACCATAACTGCTTCTGAGGATTGGGGCTCTTGAAACACTGGTAGGAGACCTGGTTTAAGCTTCTAAGGAGCTAACCTCAGCACTGAAGGAGAGCACCTCAACTCTTTCTTAACGCCAGGCAGATTTATTGAAGAAGCTGGAAGACATAGTTGTTGAAGAAGAATCAGCTGAGGATACTGGGGAAGAGCAACAGTCCCCAGCCCCTGAAGCCTAGTCCCATTTTCTTTGTCTCATCTATTAAACTATATTTTTGAACTTGATCTATATTAAACTTGGTTTCATTTGGTTTCTTTTGGTCTGTAAACACTTAAACAGGGTATTTGATTTTATTTTTGATGTTCTGTAGGAACATCAGATTGTTTATATGGATATTGCTTGCTTGCTTTATGAATATTTGCATACTATTTCTGCCTATATGTGCTTTGTTCAGTGCTTTGGACACAAACCATTAAAATGGTGCTGTATTTAGATATATATGTGCATTAATTTTGATGAAAGCCAAAAGGGGGAAAAGAAAGGAAAACTCAATTGTTGACAAGCTTCTCCATCCATCTTCATGCTAAGGTATATAATTCAATCTCAGTTCCTTGTTATAGATATTTGATATTTCTAGTTGAAATTTTTTTTTTAGTTCTGTTTTCTCTTGATTGTTACTTCTTTATTTTACTGAGTTTGCTTAGGTTTGTCATTCATCAAAAAGGGGGAATATTGTTAACCTTATGTTTTGATGATGACTCAAGGAACCTAAGCAAACCCATATAAGTTTAACTTTTGCCTTTAGCTTTGATTTATGACTAACAGGTTTATGCTATGAAATTCTTGAGTGAGAAGGGAGCATGGAACAAGATCAAAGTCAGCTATGGAAGGATAAAGAAGTCAATCTCAAGTCGTGTTCCTTTAATGGGGAACTGAAGCTCCAGAGTTGAAGCTTCGAAGACAAGTTCCTTGTCCAAGGAACTGAAGCTTCAGAGTTGAGGCTTCTCAGAGTATCAAGGAGTCTAATATATTTTATCTTTATGTTAGGCATCTTGTATTTTTCTAAGTACAATGATAATTTAAGGTTTAAGTGGATTTAAACTTATTTATGATAAAAAGATTTTATTTTCCATATTCTAACTTGTTAATTTTTTGAAAATATCTCTTAAGTTAAAATATCTTTTGGGAAAATATTTTCTGGTTTGATTTCATCTTATTCTTTGGAAAATCTGTTTTAGAAAATATTCTTTTAACGTGCGTTTAACTATGTCAAAATCAGTTGAGATATTTTAGGAGCAGCAAAACTGATTTCCTAGTATTTCGATTTACTTGCTCCCCAAAATCCCACTCCTTACACTTCCTAGTTTCAAGGAGGTTCTGGTTGAGTGGTGATTGTAGCAACGATTATTTTAACTGATCTTCTATAAATAGCCTCAGTTTTCAGTTGGAAAATTACACTTGAGCATTACAGTCTTTTAGTTTTCAAAAGAGTCATAATCCACTTGATTCCTTGAGTGTCTTTGTACTTAAAAATTTAGAGTTTAATCTTGAGTTGTATTGGGTTAGAGTTTGGGGAAACTTTAAGAGTGTTTTATTGCTTTGAGTGAAGCAAGGAGAAAGAGAGAGTTAGAGAGATCGACTGATTGAGGGATCAGTTGAAGGGAGCTTAAGTTTGTTGAGGAACTTGAGTTTAATTAGAGTCTTAGTTTGTAATAGGTTGTTTGCCCTATTATTATTAAGAGTTGAGTTTAAAATCCCTTGTGGTCGTGGTTTTTCTTCTTGATTAGGGCCAAGAAGTTTTCCATGTAAATTCTCTCTTTGCACTTTTAGTTTTTATTCGAGTTCCTTTATAAATTCCGCAAAAATTACCCTAGTTCCTCTACAATACAATTCACCCCCCTCTTTTATTGTTCATTTAAGTCAACACGAACTTTAGAGAACTAGATCCATGGTTAGGTTGCAAACTCATTGCATCATATTGTGCCTACTTGACTATTTGTGCATTATTTGCTTGTGCATACTATGTATTTTTCCTAACCGTTTGTTTGACTTGTGATTAAGCCTAAATAAACTAGTTAATGACTAAAGGACTTTGTTTAATTAATTAATTAATTAATTTGAGCTAATAAATATGTCTAAAGTCGAGTTATATTCCCTTTAAGTCAACCCGGATTTTTATTCCCGTATACTGTACATGCGTCAACTTGTTTTTGTCATATCCGGAGTTCTAGGAAGAACTACGAATCGTACAACCTAAGGATCTGTAGCCCCGAGTTTTATCTTTAATTTGGCTTTAGTTTCATACCAATAAAAGTTACAGATCCAAAGTTATGACTAAAATACCACAATCTGTCGAGTTTAATGCATATAAGTGAGATCTTAACTTAGTCTTCGTTCGAGTCTAGTCACATAGTCTAGCCACATGGTCATGACACGAGTCTTAACATGTCACCTATACTCACTAGTATTAGCACACACTTTGATTATATGTCATCATGACCATGTCTTAGGTTCATGCATGAGTCGGTTTTTTTCCGTCATTTGAGTTGGGGGGTACATTCTATTCCTAATTTCTTCATATCTCTCCATCTACATCATTTTTCACATCACAGCTTTTATTCTTCCTACCTTCTTTCATCTATACATGTTGAATAGAGTTGAGTCAAATAATTAACAATGAATATCCCTAATTTCCCTTTCCACAGTACTTAGTCAAGGAGAGAAGGGCGATTAATCAAGGACAACACCTTTGTTCAAGTCTTACTTTTTGATAAACCGATTCGTCAAAAGAGGAAACCTTAGAAGATAATGGCAACTAAAGAATAAGTAAACGAACTTAGGAATCAATTGATTACCATGAATGAAGCATTTAAGGCTTTAACCCTCAAATTGATGACCCTGTGAAGCAACAACAAATGAACCTTATGCAAGAAAGCTTGAGCAAGCTATCTAGTGACTATAAATTTCAGGGCATTAGTTCACAAGGGGTCTCGCTGGACAAGGCAACAGATAACCCTTACTTTCATCTAAGAGCTTTTGAAACTATAATGAACATTAAGGGGATTGATAATAAAGTCTTTCATTCCTTGTTTTCTTTATCTCTTGAGACCGTTTGTCAACAATGGTTCTTTTCCCTTGACAAAGAGAAAACCTCTTCTTGGGATTCCATAACAAACGCTTTCATAGATAGATATAAGTGAAACATTCAAGACGAAACAGACCACAAACAACTTGAGATGTTAAAACAAAAAAAAAAACGAAGGGCTCACTTCTTTCTTCAACAAATGGACGGAAACTTCTACTAATATGGTTAAGGTTCCTACCGAAAAAAGATTCTGTGAGGATGTTCTTCAAAAACCTTCAAGAAAAATATGCAAAACACTTAAAATATCAACACAACTTGAATACTTTCAAGGTTGTGTATAATATAGGCATTGACATTGAAGATGACCTTCTGAAAGATAATAGTGCGAGAGGGAAGAAGAACGACCATCTTTCTTCTTCCTTTCCCATTAATGAAGTAAATGCTACGAACGCCTCTAAACCACGAATCCAAAGGTCGAAAAGAGTGTTCACTCCACTTGGCATAAGTTATGAAGCAGCTTTCAAAAAGCTACACCATAAAGGACTAGTCATGCCCATAGGGCCTATCAAAGATCCAGTTCCAGAAGCCAGGCCACCTAAGTGGGATCCTAATAAGCAATGCAAATATCATAAAGGAAAGGGTCACAACACTGAGGAGTGTTGGAAACTCAAAGAAGCTATTCAAGATCTGATTGATGACAATAAAACTTCCGAGATTCTAGCCATCGCAGAAGATCAAACATCCTTCGATCCTTCACTCCTTATCACACCTGTAGGTGAGCCCATGATCGAGACAGCTTATATAGCCTCTCTTGATGAAGTGGCCATGATTGAGGAGGATGAAAGTCTTTTCTTAGATAATACCAGGGAAGACTCGTCAAGTCTAAAAGAAGACGTTCGAAAACTGCAAGATGTCATTGCCATGCTCTTGAATGTGGTAAAAGGACTAGCAAATCAGATGATGGTTATCGAACAAAATTCTCACCAAGGATTTAATGAAGAACTCAATGCTCCTAAGCCACGGGCAAAATGAACCATTGAAGAATACATACCAATAGGAATGACTTACAATGAAGCTTTTGACTGTCTTCACGATTAAGGTCTCTTTCACCCCATTGGTCCCAGTCAAGACCCTCCGCCTGAAAAACGGTATCCCAATTGGGACCCAAAATCTTATTGTCGATACCATAGAGGTCGTAGTCATACCACCAAGGTATGTCTTGCTCTCAAAGATCGTGTTCAAGACCTCGTTGATTCAAACCTCCTTCATGTTCCTCCGCGCGACAAGAAGGCCAAGGTTAGTAACAATAAAAACAGTGGTTGTAAAGGAAAGAAGAACGACTATCCTTCTTCTTCCGAAAACACCTACTCTAGTAACAGTATTGGTACTTTCGACCTTAATGAAATCTTAGCCATGGATAATCAAGGATTTAGAAAGCATTAAGAAAAGATTTCACCCCTATTGGAATTAGCTACGACGATGCTTTCGATCGACACTATGCAAAGGGACTCATTACTCCTATTGGACCCATTCAAGATCCCCCACTTGAGAAGAGATTGCCTAGTTGGAACCCAAATGTACGCTGCAAGTACCATCAAGGTAGGGGTCATACTACTAAGAGCTGTTGGAAGCTAAAGGAAGCAATCCAATATTTGTTCGATAATAACGGGCTTCCAATACCTCCAGTCGGCAAGAACACCAAGTAATGATAAGCCAAGGGACAAGAGGCAAGCTTCAACGACAAGATTTCATGATATTTTTTCTATTTTCTATTTACCCTTTCCCCAATAAGCCTAGCATAGGCACCTTTCTTTCCTTAGATTCATTTGTAGAGTTTTTTCTTTTTTCCTTTTAATAAAATGAGCATTTTATTTCCTTAAATATGATCATCACATTGCATTGCATTAAAAAAAAATCCATGTCAAACTACGCACAAGGTATATCAATGATTTGAGGCACCTCTTGTAGCCATATCACCTTTCACCCTTCAAATATGCAATCCTTATTTGATAAACCACTTTAAGCCTCGTCTAACGATAGACCCTTCATTTTTCAACCCATATCTACCTAACTTTGGGATGGGATGGTGTGCAACTTATGCAATTTTCAATTTCATAAAAAGCTTGAGTGACTTCAAAAGATTAAAATAGCAATAATAATAATAATTATAATTATAATAATAATAATAATAATAGTAATAATAATAATAGTAATAATAATAATAATAATAATAATAATAATAATAATAATAATAAAACTGTACAAAAGGGCAAGTGTTCCAATGTCTTTGACATGAACATGTCGTTGATATGAACACGTCTCAGATTGCGTCTCTTATCGAGTGCTCGGTACCGTGCCTGAGAAACATGAATGCCAAGTGAGTGATAGACCGCATGATCGGGATTTCCCACACTTATAAAAATAAAATAGATGCTAAAGCAAAAAAAAAGATCTAAAAAAGAGTCAAAAGCCTCAAGCATAAAGATTCAAAGATTCAAAAGCAAGGTTGCACACCTTGGGGGCTTATCTAGGGTCTTAAGCCTTTTATCCCCTTCTTCTTCAACCTTTAGCCTAGCCACGTTACAACCCTTAAAAAGACCTTTTTGAGGTATACACACACTTGTGCGTGGTTCGGCTAGAGCTACGTTTGGCCTGATTCCTGACGGATACGTAGGCAACTCACATCGAGGTGCGGCCGTAATAAACATGCATTCATATTCACATTCACATTCACATTCACACACCGTGATCATATCAAGGGATCTCCAATGCTCATCCCTATCTACTTAGATCTAGACTTGGGGGCTTGATCCTTACATCATTAACTTACCTAGCTTAAAAGTCACCATCATTTGACTCTTCTTGAAATAATATTTTCCCACACATTTAGCCCTTGCGGCCTAATTTTAGTATCACTTTCACACACTGCACAGATACATGACCAAATATTTCCCTTAGGAACCCTTTGTCATGAAATCTTAACACAACGCTGAAGCATGCCTTGTCATGTCAAAATAGCTCATCAATCATCATTGCATCACAAAGTATGAAGTACTTAGCCTCCGTGCCTAAGTTACCTAAATACTTTCATTATTGAGTCAACTAGGATAGTCTAAGACATTACAATCCTTATACTTTGAGAGGCAACATTAACGGATTAAGCTCATTCAACATGCACCATCAAAAACTTCGCTTCTTTCTTTTTTCTCGTCTTTCTTTTTCGGGAGAAAGTCGGTACCCTCCACAAAAATGACGGAAAATTTTTGCTTTTTTGCATTTTCGAGTCGCACGATCACAATACAATGCACACACGTGTCATGAGTCATACGTGTCATTTCACTTCGAGTCGAGGCAACCTCGAGTCAATCACAGCAAGTCGAGTTTATACCTTGAGTCATGTCAAGTCTATGAGTCAAGCAACTCTAAACCTTAGGTCAAACCTAAAATAATTAAAGAGATTAGAAAAGTCCTATAGTCAAAGATAAATACAGGTGCATCCCAACGGCAGCAAGAGCAGAATAGGGAAGACCCTACTACAGCGCCAGACGACAACATCTAGTGTCTGGCAATAGATTTCAGCGCCTGGTGCTAGTTCCCAGTTTCTGGCGACAAAGCCAAATTACGGCGCCAGAGGCATTGCAGCGGTGACAGAACGCTTTGCCACTCAGAACGGTTATTTCAACCTCTTTAAGCAATTTTGGGTTCCTTGGTACGCCAGTTAGCCTCTATAAGCAATTTGACATGATTAAGTAGTCGGCTTGATTACAATCGTAATAAGTGATCGACCAGACGAAATATCGTCTCACTTAGCTGAAAGCGCCTAAATATTGGCTCATCGCAAGACTTCGACATACTGGTTCATAAACAGCAGAGACACCAACATACTGGTTCATAAACAGCAGAGACACCGACATAATGGTTCACAAGCAGCAAAAGCGCCGACGTACTAGCATAGCGGAAGCAAAGTTCAAGCAAGCTTTAAAGATTGACAAGCGTTGGTCTTCATAAGTTTTATTCGGAATATTATCGCAACAAACATTCAAGTATCGAAGCTCTTTTGTTCAGAGACGCGTGGACATTTCTTTCAAGCTCTTTTGTTCAGAGATGCATGGACATTTCTTTCAAGCTATTTTATTCAGATACACATGGGCATATCATCAAGCTCTTTTGTTCAGAGACGTGTGGGCATATAATCAAGCTCTTTTGTTCAAAGACGCGTGGACATATCATCAAAACTCTTTTGCTCAGAGACGCGTGGGCATATCATTCAAAAGATCTTTGTTCAGAGACGTGTGAACATATCCAAAGAAACTCTTTGTTAAGAGACGAGTGAACATCAAAACAGCAAGATGGCGTTCCATAGATTGTAGAAATTTATCACAAAAGCAAAGGCAGCAACAAATCGGTTACCTCCAAAGACGTGTGCTCGACGGTGCAAGATACGCATTTTTTTAACTCTCTTATCTGGTTTAACTAACGCTAGTTTTGAAGTTATCGGTGTTACAAGAGTGATTTAGGATCGTAGAACGTTCTGAATCATTCTCCTCTATCGATACTTTAACTTTTGTTTTCGAAACTTGCGTTTCTCCAAACTCAGTCAAAGTGGGGGCTTCTGTAGACATCCAAATGTGTCTCCCCAAAGCCAAACCCAGTGATGAATACCTTTCATGTCATTTGATTTTCGAACAAAGCGAAAGTGTGAAAAGTCTAGCGATGAGGATGTTTTTATTGAAATATCTCTTCTTTATGTTTTGAAAATATTTCTTTTCTTACCTTATTTTTGAAAAACGTGCATTCTAGTTTAGTTTGGTCCATGATAAGGGTACAATAATGGTTTATTTGCATAGTACTAGAAAATACCTTTCCAACGATATATTATAAGCCCAATTCCGATGAATAATGAGGAAGTTATGGCCAAAATACTAAACTGGGCCCGGTTTGGTTTTTATATGCGGCCCAATGATCTAGAGGAGGGTCTATTATTAATTATCATTCCGAAAGCTATTAGGATTGATTTTAGTCTTCTAGAATACTCTAGAATGTCCTTTTAAATCCTAATGGAGTTTGGATTGATAATTATGTTTCAAAGAGTTTGAAATTGAATAAAACTACTCCTATTTAGAATCCTTGTTTTGTACGAAGTGGAATATATTCAGATTTTATTTTTGTTCCTCATAATCATTATCCAAATTTTATATGGTTGGATAGATCTTGAAATTAAATTTCCAATGATATATTATAATATTAATTCCGATCTATAACGAAAAAGATATGAATGAGATACAAAACTCTATCCAAAAACTGACACCGCCACTATTTCGGTCATATCTTTTTATCTACAAACTTACAATATGATTCTAATTGTGTTTGAAATTAGACTTCAAGAGCTTTCCAACAACATATTATATGACTTATTTGGACTTCTGGATCAAAATATATGATAAAAACAAAATCTGCAAAAACTATTGTCCATCGAGTTTTATTTCGATTCGAATTCGGATTCTCTTCTTATTCTTCGACCCTCTTTTTTTCTCTATAAATAGAGGTCATATATCCCCTTTTTCAATCACCAACTCTCATCAAGAAATTCTTGATTACTTTCTCTCTCTCTTTCTTTCTAAACCAACCCTTTTGCATACAAAATTCCGCATTCACAAGATCAAGAAACACCTAGCCAAGTTCGAAGTTGCCTTCGCCCTAGACGTGAAAGGTTTTAATTTCTGAGGGTTTGGTCCAAATCTTTCTTTCAATTATTTAATTTAATTATTTTTTCATTATTTTCCTTGAAGTTACTAACGTGTATATTTAGTTATTAGAAAGAGGTACGAGGCATCCAAGTAAGTGCTTTAATTGATTTGTTGATATTTTGATATAGAAATCATGTCTAGGTTGTTATTATGATTCCTAGTGTCATGTTAGGGTGTTTTGATCTTCCTAGTATCATGTTTAGGGTAATAGCTAAAGATGGGCATCGTGCCATGTCGTGCCGTCGCGGGCCGTGCTTGGCCGTGCCAGGGTGGGGCTCGTTTCGTGCCGTGTCGTGCCAGCTTGGTGGTGGGTCGTGTCGTGCCGTGCCAAGTTTTGGCACACCCTAGCCCACGGCACGGCACGACCCACGTGCTTGGCGGGCCATGCCGTGCCGTGCCGCGGGGCACCACGGTTTTTTAATTATTTTTTTAAAAATATATATATATATTATACAAAATCGATAT